AGTACTTCAGCCAAGAGTGACGACTCGCGGATCACTCTATCGGAGTCACCGGAAGAGGCGTTCGCCCCACACGACGACGCCATAGTGCCGGCGCCCAAACCCCGGAGCGCTCACAGCGGCAGCAAATACATCAAAGGCCTGCAAACCAATAAAGTGTTTCCCCAGAAATTGCCGCCCATTACCACCAAAATCAAGAAGGTTAAGAAAATGAGCAACAAAATCAATTCAGGTATTTTCCATATTTCATATTGGTGATACTGTTTATGTAACAAAACCTTCTTGCTATTTATGGTAAATGTTATTTAACTGCAAACAAATTATTTTTACTGTTATTTAAGGCCGACTGTCAGAGTCGGTAACGGATGGGTTTCACGTTTCGTGGACTAATCTGTCATATATAGTGGAGAAGTCGTCGTTCCCCTACCTGTCCAACGCCCACATACCTAAAGTACGGGTTATATTGAAATGTCTGAGCGGTTCGTTCAACAGCTCGGAGCTGACAGCAGTGATGGGACCGTCCGGCGCCGGAAAGTCTTCGCTGTTGGCCTGTGTTTGTGGCAAACGTACGACCGGTGTGTCCGGCGATATACGGATCGTGGGCTGCAAACGGATCAAAGTGGCGATAATCGCTCAAAACGATTACTTGACCGACAAGTTCACGCTCCGGGAGGCGCTTCTGTTTGCCTCCAAAACCAAGAATGGCCTCAAGAAAGTGGATCACGAAGAGGTGATCAATAACGTGGTGAACGCGCTGTCGCTGGAGACCTGTCTGGACAACCGTCTCGGGAAGTGTAGCGGCGGTCAACGGCGACGGGTGTCGATCGCACTGGAGTTGGTCTCCAATCCCAATATCCTAATACTGGATGAGCCGACCTCTGGTTTGGACAGTTCGGCCTGTTTTCAGATCATTGAAAACCTGCGCGATTTGACTCAACACAAGAAGAACCCGATGGCAATCGTGGCCACAATACATCAGCCCAGCGCTCGCGTGTTCAACATGTTTCACAACGTCTATGTCATCTCACATAACGGCCAGTGTATATATCACGGACCTCCCGGTGCCTACACTTTGCCTACAGTTTAAAATTTACATTGAATTTGCATTTTTGAAATGTATTTATTTTTTGCTTGTTTTCTACAACAGATAATATTGTGCATCACTTATCGGTGGTAAACCTATCGGTGCCCGAGTTTCACAATCCGGCCGATTATATTGCAGAGATAGCGTCTGGAGAGCACGGAGAGGATAGCATCACACGACTGGCCACTCATCGCAAGGAATCGCTAATAAACGGCTCGCAGACACCCGCGGCCACAGAATCGTCGCATAAATTGTCCGAAATGTCACAAAAATATAAATTTCCACTTATTTTGCATACATTTTTACTGATCGGCCGATCGCTACGGCTGACGGTGAGAGAGCCGCACCTATCGTGGATCCGATTGGGCGCCAGCGTAAGCACCGGCTTCTTCTTGAGCTTCGTGTTCGCGCACTCGGATTTGGGTCAAGTGGCCGGTTGTCCGCCCCGTATGGAAGGCCTTTATACCACACGACCGACAGATCTGTTCAAAAACGCCGAATACGAACACAAAAGGATTGAAGAGAATTTGGGATCAATTTTCTTCAGCGCCGTATTCCTCCTCTATTCGGGAATATTGCCAACACTTATGACTTTTCCCAAAGAATTCAATTGTCTTATTAAACACTACACCAACGGCTGGTATTCAGTCTTCACGTATTACTTGTCGAAGATTATCGTCGATTTGCCCCTCATTTTTATCAGTATTTATTATCACGTTTTTAAAAATAAACTTTTAAAGTTACTTTTAGATTAAAAGTTACTATAAATTTTGTTTTGTTTTCCTTTAGCCACGTTCATATATCTAACCATATGGTATTTGGTAACCTCTCAAATCCCAGAAATGTGGAGGTATTGGACCATCATCTTAGCGGGTATATTGATTATGCTGAACGGCCAGAGCCAGGGCATGATATGTAGTGCCTGGTACTCCCGAGACCCGGTCGCCGCCTCATATTTAAGTCAGTAATTACTATAATTATCCATTGAATTATCCACTAAAACCCTCAACTCATCCCACATATATGGATAGGTATCGTCACTTCGACGCCTTTCTTTCTGCTCAGCGGTTATTTAGTGCGAACCAAACGTATGCCCGACTATATCCGTCCGGTGACCGCCATCTCACACACCAAATACGCGTTCGAGTCAATGGTGATCGCCATCTATGGCTATCAGCGCTGTTGGTATCCGGAGTCTAACCAGACATTGGTTCAGCCGCCGTGGCTTCGGTTCCTACGGGTGATGACCGCCTCAATGGTCGACAACAACAAAGAGGATACTCTCGACGACGACGACTCTTATCTCGTTATCAATAATAATAATACTAATAGTAGTGGCGGTTATGACGGCGCCGGTGGTGGTGAAGATGATGGAGCCATGAATGATATATTAGCCCTGTTTTCCGGCAGTCATGCCGTCACTGATAATAAGTACCAATCGATGGTTATGTCTGAGTTTGAGTTCACCGATGATATGCTTCCCTATAATCTTCTGGTACTCCTCTTATATACCATTATCTTTCAATTCATAGCATATATTGTCTTAATTCGCAAATTGAGAAAAACTACTTAAGTTTTGGTTTGTGTTAAAAAGTTAATTAAAAATTTTAATATCTGTATTATTTTTGCATTGAAATTATTTATTCCTGTATATAATAAATATTTATTTAAATCTAGAGCATTTATTCTTTTTAATATGTCAAAACTATTATAAAATAAAATATGAATTTAAATTTTACACATTATTAATGACATTAATAGCAAAATATTTGGGTGAATATTATAAGGAAATAATAATGAGAACTTGGTTTTTACAATCAATACTATTCTGTGATTATTTTTATGTTATATTCTTGTGTTATATTCTGATGGCATATACTTTTAGGTAATAAACATAGAAATAGCAGTAAATTCTTTATTAATAATTCAAATGAATATTGGATTCAAACATAACAAAAGTAAGGAAACAATTTGTTATTAAATTCTTATATTTCTGTATATCTCCCCAAACATTGCTTTCAAACATAGTTTCTCTAAATAATTGTCTATTTATTAGTAAATGCTTTGCAAATAATTTGCAACTATTTCTCAATCAATAGAAATATTGATTTTAAGAGCATTTTGATGTTAACCTAGTTTTTTGGTCAACACATATCTCACAAATAAATTCATTAAATTTAAATACTTATATTAAAATTATATTACATTTACATAATATTTGATAGTAACACGGTCTATTATTTTCATCATGTGTTAAATACCTAGCAATTTATTATTAATAAAAAGTTCATTGGTACCAATTAACCATGCTAATTTAATTGGTGTCATTAACACCTACATACTGTCGATAAAATACACATTTGATGTTTTAATACATTAATTTAGTACATTAAACCAGCGCTAAAGTGGATAGAGTGTACTATTGATTATTTATCTATTGTTAATAACATTATAACTTTTGATGGGCTAATACGAGAGATCACTTTCTCAGATCACTTTCTCAAACGATGTAATATTGTTATGTGTAAAATGCGTCTAAAAATTAATGTGGAAATTGCATTATTAAAATTGTTATAAAGATAACTTAGGTTTGTCAGTATTAAACAAGAAACACCACGTGAAGGTCAACCTAATAGTTTCTCACCCATTTTTATAAGTGGTTGGCTTTCAGTCTATCCACATTAGTCACCACTCATTTTTTAAAGAAAAATAGAGGCCTAAAACTTAAACAATTTAGATATTTGTATATCTAGTATGCGATGGATGGTAACGATGTTTTGCAATCAATGAATTGAAATTACAAAATAATTGATTAGCAGCCCAAATTCTTAAACGCGATTTTAGGGTTTCATTGGTTAATCGATTTGTTCTTTGAGTTTTGCAAGCTTTCATTAGTGAAAAAAATTGTTCGCAATTATATGATGAGCCATAATACGAAAGCATAGTATACGCATTTTGCTTTAATTCTTTGAAATCAATTGAATCAAGTTGTGAATAGAATTTATTAATTGATTCTGATTTCTCAAACAAATCTCTTAGTGAACGATCTGATTTTAAACGAGCCAGTTCAGCGGAAAAGTGTGATGGAATGTTAGTAGCACTGAAAGGATTCGCAAATATATCAAATAATTCTTGGTTTGATTCAAAGTCCTGAAATCGTAATTCAAATTGAGATATTAATTCATCCATCAATTGAATAATATTTTCAGTATTGAAGTCAATTTTGTTGTCGTTTATCACTTGTTGAATGCGAACAAAATCTGTGAAATCGAATTCAGTGTCGGAATTAAATGGTGAATCATAGGGAATATACGCTCGAATTGTTATTAATAACTCTAACAATTCTTGAATCACTGTGTATTGTTGAGTTATTGATTTGTTTTTTCCCATTAATTGCAATTTAATATTATTTAACATGACTGTAAAATCAGTTAAAAATGCCAATTCAAAGTAGAACTGTTTGTCATTTGCAATTAATTGGCCATTTAAGTCACGTATTGGTTCTTTTAACTCGTCATCAAAGAAAATAGTGATTTGATGAAATAAGTCAAAGAATCGAGCCAAACATTGTCCTCGACTGAGCCAACGAATATGACTATAGTTTAACACATCAGAATATTCAGAGTCAATATTTTTTAAGAATTCACGAAAACATCTGTGATTCAAAGCGTATTTCTTGTTTTTTATTTTGTTGATTGTATTCACAACTGTTTTCATAATATTGTCAATTGAAGCACATTTTCCACACAGTTCTTCTTGGTGTATAACACAATGAAAATGTTGTAATTTGTTTGGAGAGGTGCGATCGTGATAATATTTTAATAAAGTCGCTGCTCCATTATTGCAACCGACCATACTTGGGGCGCCATCTGTTGTTATTGACGCCAAATTTTTAATATCCAAGTGGTTTGTTTCAATGCTTTCTTTAACTTTTTCGAAAATTGCTTCTCCAGTTGTGTGTGTGTCCAATGAAATCAAATCCAACATTTCATCCATTACATTGAAATCAGACTCGACTCCTTTAATATAAATTGCTAATTGTGCGTTATCTGTACAATCAGTACTTTCATCAAACGCAAGGGAGTATTTTTCAAATACTTTTGATTGTAACTGTTCAGTCATGTCGTTTGCGATTTCATGCACACGATTTGTAATACTTTTTCTTGAGAGTGGCAATGTTTTGACAATTTGCGCCAAATTATCTGGCAACAAATTGGCAAGAGATGCAAAGCATTTCTTAATCAGAAGTTCGCCAACTTCAAAAGGGTATGGAGAATTGGCGATATGGTGAGCTATTTCATAAACGACACGAAGTTTCTTATCGTTTGAAATATCTTCAGTCATTTCTGATTGGTATGACATTGCACTTGTGGACTCTTGTGATGACATTACAGTAGCACTTGTAGACGGTTGAGATGATAACTCCAAATCACTGATATTAAAGTCTGGTTCTGAATCGGGTTCTGCATACTTAATACGCATTTTATTATCTCTTTGTGTGATCATCATCTCTGGACTCAAATCATAGTGCTTTTCGTCGTGATGTTTCTCAAAAACCCTAGATTTGAGTGTTTTGGGTTTGAAATCACACAAACCACAATACCATTTGTTTTTAATTTTGTGTTTGAAGAAAAATAAGTCGTTTTCCCAATCACGTTTACGCTTACGACCACCTTTTTTCGGGGGCATTTCGATTGTTATTAACACTACAAAATAATATTAATTATTTGATGTTTAATTAATTAATTAATATTTAAACGTAATGAAAAACACGTTTCACTAAACACGAAACATGAAAATCAAGTGTTACCACGTGAAAATCAAGTGTTAACACATGATAATCAAATGTTAACACATGATAATCAAGTGTTTTTTCTTAACAATTGAATGCACGAATGCATACAATCGAAAAGTGGGCTTTAATTCAGGTAACCTCGGTTACCAAGCACGCCCGGATCCTTTTACATTTACATTTACAAAACAGTCAATTGTATTACTATTTAAATTTAAATTAAAGACACACAAAAAAATAATAAAACTATTCAAATAACTAATCAAAACTTTAAAGTTTAAAAACTAAACCAAAAGCCCTTGTGTTATGTGTTTATGAGGCGCCCACCAGAGGGCGAGTCAATCAATACATACAAACATACGGTTTGTTATGCAAAACAGAGCAAAACTATTGACGTCGTCGTCAGGACGACAGCCAATGGGAAGCGATCGCGCCTTACGTTCAACACGTTATACACGAAAACAGTGCACAAAAAGTGAACGCAATGTTGTGTTTGCATTGCATTTGCCATACGTTTAGTGTGTGATTGACTTTCACACCCTTCACAACACACTGACCCACAAAACAACCCCCGAATCACGTGTTTATATATTTATTAATTATAATTACAAACATTTAATTCACAATTAATTAATCACTGATTGTTTTGTTATAATTTGTTTTGTGTTATTAAACGATGTGTTTATATCTATAGCGCTGTAGTGTTGGCCGCAAACAATCGCATGAGTTGTTTGTCTATTGTTTTTTTCACCACATTTTTTGATCGCTATTTAAAAGTTTAATTCAATTAAAAGTGTAATTAAAAGTTATATTTAATTAGTTTATAATTAGTCCGATTCACTCATGAGATCACGTGTTTGATTGACAAGTGTGTTGTGCGGAGCCATTGTCTTCAGCGGATCCATTGGGCGATACAAGTCTTGAGACAAACCATGCATTTAAACAAACGCCGCAAACTGTGCGCCGAAAACACGCAACTGATCTACGGCTCGGTGTCGGCCCACGTGTCCACCGATTGGTCGCCAAACCCTAGTCTTAAGGACAGTCTGAGCGGCGATAATGAGAGCAGTTGTTCGTACTTGAGTTGCGCCGAAGACCTCACACCACGTGAGTCACCCGTACCGCCAGTGTCTGAGGCCGTTGTCTCCGCCGCCATTGGCGACCACTCGTTGATGTCCACCAATGGTGACCACTCTTTGGTGCCCATCAATGATGATCACTCTTTGCTGCCCATCAATGGTGACCAGTCTTTGCTGTCCATCAATGGTGACCACTCTTTGGTGTCCATCAATGGCGACCACTCTTTGATATCCAACGCCACTGGTGTCGAAACGGACGACTCGTGTTTCGATTGGTCCGAATGTAATCAAACGCTGGACGAGTCAACGGCGGGACAGTCTGTGGCCATCACACCGTTGGACACCGATAAGCGTATCCGCGATTTCATGGATCTATTGGACAGAAGTCGTCGCTTTTCGGCCGTTATAGAGAATAATCTGCGCCAACGGAGCCATGAGATGATCCAAACGAACGGCACGTGCGTTGAGACAATGCGAAGAAGCGGTCATCTGATGGCTATTGATAATAAACAGGTGATCTGTAGCGCCGTCGACGACGAGAGCAGCAAAGACGGCGCCGACTCCGAGGCGGACAGTGTGCGCACGTTTGACACCAGTTCCAGCACTTCTTCCACTGAGAACCACCACAACGGCATTGCCGTCGACTCCCGGCAGCCGTACCTCATCTCAGGTACTGATTAGCGATCACTTCACACACACATTGATAGTCACCCGCAATACCACTTAACCTAACCATTGAATTATAGGCACAATTATGAGAGACTATCAATTGGATGGCTTGGAATGGATGCGTCTACTGATGGCCAACGGTATGAACGGCATTCTGGCCGACGAAATGGGTTTGGGAAAGACTATACAGTCGATCGCAATGATCGCCCACATCGTCGAGAACAGCGCCGGTGACCAACCGGTCGGTCCGTTTCTGGTGATCGCGCCGCTGACCACTTTGCACAACTGGAAGCGCGAGTTAGTGCGGTTCGCGCCACTAATCCCGGGCTTTGTGTTTCACGGCAACGACAAACAGCGTCGGGCGATGTATCCGGAGTTTAGACGCGTGGCTAACGTTCACTTCGGGGTCAGACAACGGCGCCGATGCCTACCGGTGGTGATCACGTCGTACGACATAATCCGCCGCTGTGTGGGCACCATGATGAAATATAAATGGGCGTACGTGGTCGTCGATGAGGGCCACAAGATTAAGAATATCAACTGCCAACTGTCCAAGTAATTGATCCATTCGGTGACTGTTTGTGTGTGATTTTTGTTAACTGTTTTGTTGTATTCCTATAGAGTTATGCGGAAAATAAAGTCGGCCAATCGGCTGATACTGACGGGTACGCCACTGCATAATAATTTGGCCGAACTCTGGGCTCTGCTTAACTATGTGTCGCCCGATGTGTTCAGCGACTGGAAAATGTATGAGAGATAATGACCACTGGGTTTATAACGTGTGTATAATTGATATGTTTTACTGTAATTAGTTTTGAGGACCTATTGGTGACCACTTCGAGTAACGAACACATAATACAACAAGAGATGCAAAATAAGATCATTTCATCGATTCATCAAATTTTGGCGCCGTTTATGTTGAGGCGAACGAAGTCAGAGGTGGGCCTCAATCTGCCGCCGAAGAAGGAGTTCCTGCTGTACGCGCCGTCCACTCGCGCCCAACAGGCCCTATACGAGGCTGCCGTTAAACTGGTCAAAGAGGCCCGAGTAATGCATAATAAGTTATATAATTGTTTTGATTTATAATTAATTTAATGTTTTTAACACTTAAGGAGCGAAAGAGCGACGCGTTTACCGTTGAGTGCGCTCTAATCGACGGCCGAAAGCCCCGGAAGAGTACGAAACCAATTAATTACAAACAGTATTACAAGGAGTTCGAGGAATGGCTGGCCGACGAAGAGAACGGCGCCACACAATTGGTGGCCAACTATGACACGCAGATCCGATTGCCGAAAGAGTTGGTCGTCGGTGGCCAACAGTACGTGTCGTTCGGCAAATTCAATCGCTATAACATACTGATGCAAATGCGAAAGATTACGAACCATCCGTACCTAATCCAGTGGCCCGACAACTGGCACAACGAGGAGATTGTCCGCCTGTCGGGCAAAATGCGAGCTCTGGACGAACTCCTTAAGCACCTGTATATCGGCAAACATCGGGTGATTTTGTTCTCGCAAATGACCCGAATGTTGAACATTATTGAAGAGTACTGTCACTATCGGAAGTACACGTACTTGCGCTTTGACGGCAGCACCCGATTGGATGTGAGACAACAATACATCGATGAATTCAATAAAAATCCCAACATTTTCCTGTTCCTGGTGTCCACCCGCGCCGGCGGTCTCGGTATTTACACACCTATAGACTTGTTTTCTAATTATTGTACTAATAATTAGTTAATTTGGCTTATATTAGGTATCAATCTGTGCGGCGCCGACACCGCAATCATATACGACTCCGATTGGAACCCACAGATGGATCTCCAGGCGCAGGACCGGTGCCATCGGATCGGCCAATCAAAACCCGTCATTGTGTACCGTTTGGTGACCGCACACACCATTGACGATAAGATACTGCAGACGGCAAACAAGAAACGAAAATTAGATAAAATGATTATACAAAAGGGACAGTCGTTGCGGTCGAGTAGTCGCCTGTCGGCCGGTGATGATCATAACACGTCGACCGCCGCCGAGCGCACAATGACTATCGACGAGTTGATGAATATCTTGGAGTCGACTGATTTCAAAGCGATTTACAATTATTCGGCCGAACGGCTCGAATCGGATCGACTCTATAGCGATGAGGATCTGCTGAAGATGTTGGACAGGGAGGCCAACGACGATCTCAACCAAAGTGTCATCAAAATTGGATCTCAATATAATAGGTCTCAAGAATAGAGTTGTACGAATCGGATCGACTCTATAGCGATGAGGATCTGCTGAAGATGTTGGACAGGGAGGCCAACGACGATCTCAACCAAAGTGTCATCAAAATTGGATCTCAATATAATAGGTCTCAAGAATAGAGTTGTCCTCTTTTTCTTGCTCTCTATACACGTTAATTACAAATTACTTTATTGTTATTATTACTGCTGTTAAGTGTATTAATTAATTCGGAATCAAATTATTATTATTATTTGTCATTTATTCGCTATAATTAAAAGCAAATTTATTCATTGATTTTTATACATTTTTAATGATTTTATTTATATTTTAGGCTAAAACCGATTGAAAGCATTTAATTGTAAGCTATTTTACTGATAGTATTTATATTTTCATTTATGGGTCATTCATATCGTTATAAACTATTTATTCAACTGTTTTCGTATGAATTAAACACAATAATAATTGTCAAAAAGTTTATGTAATGATTGAATTATTACTTATTTTCGATATATTTCTACATTTAATTTACCATATTTTTCGGCCAAACAATTATGTCCTACGAGTTTGTGTTTTTAGTGATAGCACTCGTCTTTATTAAGTGTTTAGCGCCTAAACAACAACAACAGTGTGTGAGCACTGAGTCCACGGTATTGTTGCCGATGAGTGGCGCCGGCACTCAACTTATATCCAGAAGCGAAGTCCAAATGGTGGCCATTGCCGACCAGTTCGGTGGCTCTACGTATAAATCGACACTATTTGGCAGTAATAAATGGCCACTACTTTCTCCGTTGGGACCGTCCGGTAAATTCCTATGCGTTTGTCGGCCCCGAAGTGCACAGGATGTTAGGCCAGCGACCGGAACACGTGGTACCTCTGGTATAGACTGAGATTATAGCGAAATGTTATTATTTATTAATCATAATGTTTTTATCAAATTGTGACCACTTTAAGGACCCACTCAATCGCCTACGGATTCCACCGATACAAACCTACCGACAGGAGATACCGAAACCCCTGACACCGGAACCCCTGACACCGCAACCCCTGACACCGGAACCCCTGACACCGCAACCCCTGACACCGGAACCCCTGATACCGGAACCCCTGACACCGGAACCCCCGACACAAGTAGTGATACGACACAACCCAATGGCGATACCACACAACCTAATGGTGACACAACACAACCCACTGGTGATAACTCGGGCCAAACCGATGCATCACA